GGCTGGGGAATTCTGGGAGTTGAAGTCCATACATCTTTAAATTGCCAAGTTTGAGAAACACCAGCCTAGAACCTTAGCCAGGTATGTTCCATATTGCAACAACAATGCATTTTGAAACTGCTATTTTTTCCTGTAATTGCTGTTCTTCCCCTATTGTTTTATTATAGATTTTATTGCTTTTTTGTATATTATAATCGTGCATTTTGCAATGGGCTATTTTTGATTTTTACTGCTTCCTCTATTGTTTTATTGTTCATTTTATTGCTTTTTTCTACATCTTAATCATGCATTTTGCAACGGGCCATTTTTGATTTTTACTGTTCTTCCCTTATTGTTTTATTTTTTGTTTTATTTTATATTGTATATTTTGTCCGAGTTTCATGTTTCCTTGGTCAATCTGTGCAATTCCAACTACATAGGATGAATTTTAGCATTAAAACATGCTGGGAGGGGTGATCGCATGGCTAGAGATTTAGACCACTCTCAATCAGTAAATACATCCTTTTAAAATGTTGTGGTTTGAAAACGATAGCTGTTCTCCATTATCAGGTGTGTTAGGAATAATGTTATTAAGCTAATGAAAGATATTTCTCTCTTGCAGATGGGAAAAACTGGTGCTACCTCTCACAACAGTGTCAAGTCCAAGGTTGCAAAGGTAACTTTCAGAACCAACTATTCAATGTAACTGAAAACATGAACCAGGGGTAGGTGGGGGGAAATACAATTTATTATATTTCCTTTTCTGTGGAGTGGCTGTTATTGGAAAGAAACGTTGATTGTAACAAATGGAAACAAAAACATTAAAATTTTGGAAAGCTTCTGGGCTGTTTTGCTGCCATTCCAGTCTTGCACTGAAAAGGCCCTCTGACTGCAAAGATGAACTTCTTGCCCGATTTTTGCCAATAACGTGACTATGTTTACATGAAATCCTATGGCAGTGGGGTTGGAGGAGCTAGGAGGGGGGATACATTTCAAGTAATGCGCTCAAAAAGAACATCTACTGGAGCCATGGCTGGTTTGGGCCCAGGGACTGGGAATTGGGGTGAGGCAAATGTTCTTGCCCATGAGAAAATGGATCGCTCCTAACCTTGCAGGACTGCAGAGAAACGTCTTCCTAAAAGTCAAAACTCCGCATTTCAAAAGCACATTGAATTCAGTACTTCTTTTTCTGCGGTTCCCCATCAAAACGTATTTGGCTAAGTCCCCTCCAACTAATAATATCCCAAGAACAATGGAGACCACAGCCGATCTCCAAATTAATGCAAAACGCTAATGTGGAAATAGCCCCAATCAAATATATGAACTTGGCTACACAGTGCTTCAGATCAAAGCCAAAAGGTTTGTCTATGCCTTTCTTAATGCTAAGAATAAATATTTGTGTTAAATCCATGTGGAACAAAGTTACAATCCCTGCTTTGGAGTAAGGAACAGTGTTTTTTAAAATTAAATTAACTTAAATAAGATTAGTTGAGAAGGTGGAATCCCCTTGGGGAGGAGAGAAGGAAGATACATATACAGTGACTAAAGTTTTTGTTGAGTCAAGCTTTATTCCTTTATGATTATTTTCTCGGTTACAACACAGATCTAATTTTCCATGGATTTCTTCCTTGATAATATTTTACTTCCCAATTTAACCTATTTTATTGGAATTGCTTAGTGGTCCCCCATCCAGTGCTAACCAGGCTGTTGTCCTGGGGACTTCCTGAACACATCCGTGTCATTCTCTTGGATGCAACACTGACATGACTTGCCTCTTCCACAATTTTTTTTTACTCCACAATCAAGCCTACAGCCTCGGATTTCCTTGTGGTCTCCCATCTAAGCAGTAACTAAGCATAACCCTGTCTTGCTGACTTCATGGATACGTTCATGGAGTTTTATTGGCATGGTATGGAAATGATTTCCCTTCTTTTAGGGTGCTTTAGACTTCTTATTCCAGCTTATAGCCTGGGAAGTCCTAAAGTCCTCAATTTTGTAAACCACGCTTGCAGGGAATCATGGTTACGCCGGCCTTGATTCAATCACTGACACGTTTTAAAGCCTATTTCTCCTTCTGCTCCCACCCGTGCAGAGCCTCGCCAGTGGGCAACGCTATTCAGAGATTGTGGGAAGAAAGATCAATCTCCAGTCAATATTCTCACCCAGCAGGTACAATATGACAACTCTCTGAAAGCATTCAATTTTAAAAACTACGATATCAAGCCCAGCAAAAAATGGACCATGCAAAATAATGGACACACAGGTGAGAAACAGGGATACCTCACGATGACATAACAAATAATTCTGATTAAATCTGACCTTTAAGGGTTAAATGTATCATGTCATTCTGTCATTGATTTCCCCAGTAAATGATGCTTCTTCAAATAACTCAAGGCAGCGAACATACTTAATATTCCTTCCTCCTCCTATTTTCCCCACAACAACCACCCTGTGAGGTGGGTTGGGCCGAGAGAGAGGGACTGGCCCAAAGTCACCCAGCTGGCTTTCGTGCCTAAGGCAGGACTAGAACTCATCGTCTGCTGGTTTCTAGCCTGGAGCCTTCACCGCTAGACCAAAGTGAAATGAATGAGTTCAGGCCAGTGGCTCCAATTTCCATACATTTTTGGATGAGCAAATACTATTATTGGTTCATGCTCAGGAACCAAGTTGGTTTGGTTTGGGGGTCAGCTTATGCAAACCCAACTTTTGTGGGTTGTTAGTAGGGGAGTCCTCTGGGAGGGTCCAGAAAATCAAGACAGTGGCCATAATGGTGCAATTTAAGTCCTGGCTCTTCTTTATGTGTGTAGTGTGTTTAATGTGCGTAAAAAGGGGATGGGGCTTGGACGCACGATCACAACTACCCTCTTGACCCCCTTCCTGTGGCTGCCCCTGTTTGTAAGCCATGGACTATTACGGTTGCCATTCAATGATGCACAACACATGGGTTATAGCAAACCCATGGATTTGAAAATGGATCTTTTAAAAACTGGGCTATTAAAAAGTATTAACCTAGTTTTTCAGAAATCAAGTTCAGAAATCAGGTTAGTGGAAGATAAATATTAAATATTAAATACCGCCCAGAGTAGCTGGGAGTCAGATAGCATATACATTTAATAAATTATGGTTGGTTGCGCAGTCAGCCAGATGTTT